TCAATATCAAATACAGACAATTCCGTTGAAAATGCGCCGAAAGTCATCGAAATGCTTAAAATGAGGAAATTGACAAACATATAAAGGGAGTAATGAAAAAACTCCAAACAACTGCAGATTGCTGTAATTTCTAAGCCACTATTGTTTACAAGCGTAGAAAAGCATTTTGGTGAGAATTTTTCAAAAAAAAAAAATGAAATGTTATGGATGGAATTTAAGCGCGATAGTGTAATTTCTTTATATTTGGCTGGAAACCCACAAGTGACTATCGTTAGAGCACCCCTGCATTTAAATGTGAATAAATCTTTTGTGTCTAGTACCATCGCTTGTTACCGTGATACTGGTAGCGTAGCCCGATGACTTCCTTGATGTCGGGCGTCGGACGGAACAAAACAGCAACATCAGCAGAAATGGTTCGAAAAGTAAAGAAGCGACTTGATCGAAACATGCGTCGCAGTGGCCGAAAAATGGCTCGTTAGCTGAACATATCGCAATATTGCATTCGGCAAATATTGAAAAATGAGCTCGGGGTAAAGCCATTGAAATTCCAAAAACCAAAACTTTTAATACCCTCCACCATTACGAAGGAATTTGAAAATTTTCATAAGAATTTCCGAAAACTACCAATTAAATGGAAACCGTTATATGAGAAATATATGAGGACGGGGACCTGCATACGATTGCTATAAGTTATAATACCCATAAAGATACGAAGTTTGAAACGATTCCGGTGAATAATGTCGCTGAAATCATCAAAATACCGACTATCGGGAAGTACCGTTATATGGGGGCTATACGAATACAAAAATGTTTGTCATAGACTGTAGTACCCATTACTAACTTCAAATAAGAAATTTTAAATAATTCCGGTAAATAATGTCTCAAAAATCATGAAAATACCGAATATCGGGAGTTACCGTTATATGGGGGCTATACGAAGATCTGGACCTGCATACAACAATTTTTGCCATAGGTTGTAGTACCCATTAGGATCTGACAGTAAGAAATTTGAAGAGATTCCGGTGAATAATGTTGCTGAAATCAACAAAATACCGAATATCGCGAGGTACCGTTATATGGGGGCTATACGAAGACTTGGACCCGCATACAAAAATTTTTGCCATAGGCTGTAGTACCAATTAGGAACTTCAAATACGAAATTTGTAATAATTCCGGCAAATAATGTGGCTAAAATCATGAAAATACCGAAAATATGGAGGTAACGCTTTGTGGGGGCTATATGAAAACGTGGACCGACATGGTCCATTTACGAACTTAACCTGCCTACTGGTAAACTATGCAAGTATGCAAAATTTTAGCCTTCTATTCAATTCCTTCGAAAGATAGCGTGATTATAACAGACGGACAGACAGACCAACATCGCTAGATCGTCTTAGAATTTTACGCTGATCCAGAATATTTACACTTTGTAGGGTCTATTATGAATATTTCGAGGAGTCACAAACGGAATGATAAAGTTAATATCCCCATATAGAATGGTGTAGGGTATAAAAGAGCTAAAGAGTTGCTTTGCTTCGCCGAAAGTGGTGAACTGCCGAATATTTCGCTCTCCGCTTATAGTTATCGACCGAAATATTCTGGAGGGTGTATTAAAGCCTTGCACACGCAAACATTTTGGCCACAGACCTTGGAAATTCCAACAGGACTCAGTACCATCGCACTCAGCACGCGCCACCCAAGAATGGTTACAAAATGAGGTTCCTCGCTTCATTTCCAGCGCACAATGGCTACCAAAATCTACGGACACCAATCCGTTGGACTATTGTGTCTGGAGTTTTTTGGAAAGCAAGGTTGGCACTAAAAAATACCAAAGTGTCGATCTCCTGAAGCATGCGCTTCGCCGGGAATAGACCAAAATACCGGAAAGCAAGGTTGGCACTAAAAAATACCAAAGTGTCGATCACCTCAAGCATGCGCTTCGCCGGGAACGGGCCAAAATACCGCAGAACAACATTCGTCACACGTTGACGGTTTCATTGGCCGTTTGAAGGCCATAATTCGTGCCAAAGCTGATCAATCCAAACAAATCTAAACTTATTCTAAAATTTGAAGCTATTTCCGCCATTTTTTGCTTTCATTCAATAAAATTTAAAAAAATGTAAAAATTATGGTCTTTGACTTTGTTGGAGTTTTTTTTTGTCTCACCCTGTATATATATATATATATATATATATATATATATATATATATATATATATATATATTCTTTTTTTGGTCTAAAATTATTTTTTCGATGAATTACCAATGGAATGACTCCATACTACGCATGATAAAGGGTATCGAATGAGTGACACTCAACGACATGTGAATCATACGCCACATTGATTTCCATTATCTATATTTGTTCACGTTATTTTCTGTATGTATGGGCAAGCACTTGCCGCATGTTCTCTAGTTAATATTCAAATTAGTATTATTGCTTGAAGTTTAATTGCCTTTTCAAATCACCACAAAATATACGAAACTTTTGTAGCGTTAAACTAAGTTATCAAAGAAAATGATTGCGGCGCTGTAGTAAATGCAAATTTTTAATATTGCGTAAAAATTTGAAATTTATTGCCAAAGAAGTGAAGTCGTAACAAAGACACTTTTATATGGATTTCCTTTCGTTTCTACGCCAAAACTTTTCATTCTTTCCTTAACAACAAAAGTTTTCCGTCTTTGATGGATGATTCCAAGTTTATTCTGTTCTACTTTATCCAATTAAAAGGACATTTTTATTACTTCCGTCCACAATTATCCAGGGTCATTTGTTTGTGGATTTTTCGTTTTTTTTTTTCTTTCGTTTTATATTTTCTGTGGCAATTTTATTCCGAGCCGCCGAAGCTTGTGAATGTTTGGGGCCACTGTAAATTAAAATTGTTATATTATGTAAATGCTAGTGTTTGTGTAGTGTTGTTCACCTATACAATTGTAAGGTTAAGTTTGGTTAGGTATGCATTTGTAAGAGTACCTTGCAGTGCTAAAAAAATAAAGAAAAAACAAATCGTATCCTTGATACCAAAAATATGAATTACCTCATTTATCCGGGGGCCACAAATAAATAGCAAGCATAAAAAAATAAGGAAAATGTAAAAGCGTCACAATTTGGTGGCAAAAAATTATCCTCGACTTTTTTGGCAGACATACTGCTGTTGGGGGTACATAAATATTTAAAGAGGCGGAATTAAGTGATATGCCAATGAGGACTTCTTTAGTAGACCACATAGGTTCCACATTAATATTCTTTGCTACATTGAGAACTTTTTATTAGTCCCCGATCGATGGAAGTCTCCACTTATATCTGTCGGAGTTCTCGTTCAACTCTTTCGAATATATATTTTAATCAATATGGCCTGCAATTCGATACCCCTCCTAAATATGGCTCTAATTGCCAGTCGATGCCTTTCTCTCCAATTGTCCGTAGTTTTCAATGCATGGGCATCTTCTCTAAAACCAAACAGCAATACCTCCTCGTAACAGCCAAGCAAACGGATATCCTTCATCGAAACCTTTTGTTTTTATTTTTTGTTTAAAGAAAACATACAAGATAATGTAGAGTTGTTTTTCTCCTCTCGCCTTCATTATTCCCTAGCAGTGGTTCAATGACTACTGGGGCCACTTTAGACAAATGCCACCGCAATATTTTGTTATTTGCCATAAGGGCTTCGAATACGTTTTTTTCTGTTTTTATTTTAAGAGGTATAAACGAATGTAGCTGGAAGAACAATAGGTATGTCAGATCCCTTTCCACTGCTAACCGGATTCGCTGATGCATGTTAATGCATCGAAGCTATTTTAGCGAAAGGATGTTCACTTGAGAGCTATAAATGGATGATTTTCAGAGGGAATGTAGCAGGGAGTTTTCCTTTAGGAATATTTTTGCAAAGAAGAGAAATAATTGCAGAATTAAAAAAAAAATATTTTCCAAAAGTATTTCACAAAGGGCGTCTACATAGACGCCATAAAGGGCTTCAACAAAGACGCCATAAATAGTGTCAACATAGACGTCATGAATGACGTCATCATAGACATCATGAATGGCGTCTTCATAGACGTCTGAATGACGTCATCATAGACATCATGAATGGCGTCTTCAGAGACGTCATGAATGGCGTCCTCAGAGACGTCATGAATGGCTTCTTCAGAGACGTCATGAATGGCGTCTTCAGAGACGTCATGAATGGCGTCTTCAGAGACGTCATGAATGGCGTCTTCATAGACGTCATGAATGGCGTCTTCATAGACGTCATGAATTGCGTCTTCACAGGTGTCATGAATGGCGTATTCATAGACGTCATGATTAGCGTCTTCATAGACGTCATGAATGGCGTCTTCATAGACGTCATGAATGGCGTCCTCATAGACGTCATGAATGGCGTCTTCATAGACGTCATGATAGGCGTCTTCATAGACGTCATGAATGGCGTCTTCATAGACGTCATGAATGGCGTCTTCATAGACGTCATGAATGGCGTCTTCGTAGACGTCATGAATGGCGTCTTCATAGACGTCGTGAAGGACGTCTTCGTAGATGTCATGTATGGCGTCTTCATAAATGGCGTCTTCATAGACGTCGTGAATGGCGTCTTCATAGACGTCGTGAATGGCGTCTTCAGAGATGTCATGAATGGCGTCTTCATAGACGTCGTGAAGGACGTCTTCATAGACGTCATGAATGGCGTCTTCATAGACGTCGTGAAGGACGTCTTCATAGACGTCATGAATGGCGTCTTCATAGACGACATTAAGGGCGCCTTCATAGATGTCATGTATGTCGTCTTCAGAAATGGCGTCTTCATAGACGTCATGAATGGCGTCTTCATAGACGACATAAAGGGCGCCTTCATATACGTCTTTAAGTGCGATCTAAATGCAAAATATATTTTCAGTTCCACAAAACGTGTGGCTCATTATATTGCCATATTAGACCTTTAGTTATTCTCTTCAAATTATATTTTAATAATTATTCTCATTTCTTTTGTTCCTTTCTCTTTCAGATCTTGGACCAATTTTTACACCTTTTAACACAAGAATAAGGAAACAACAACAATTTATACTTGAATATATATCATTTACACCCCCCTTAGCTGTTAGTTGAAATAGACTAGAAGTTTACACTAAAATCCTTAGATTAGAGCAACAAATCACTATTCTATACCAAAAAAAAAAAAAACAACAAAAATTGCGGAATATTTTACTATCCCGAATTACACACACAAAACTCCCACATACATCATTAGGAAACCCCTTAAGTAGTAAGTTTTCCAAAGAGTAGAGCTTAGCTGGAATCCGGACTTTTAATCAACCACATAAGTAATACCCAGAAAACACCTACAATTGCAGTAAATCACAGCTATTTAAGGATCGCTTCCTCTCTGCGCTCCCGGGTTGACATCCTATTGGGAAATAAAACCAAACAGAAGCAGTAAAAGATATAAACAACTACAGGAGTTTGTAGCGGTGGTCATTCTCTACCGCAACACACACACATATCTACATCTATCCTCCTCTCCGGTGTTTTTTAAGTTACAACCAGAAAAATTGGTTTCAAAATTGGTCAAATGTTATGTTGCGGTTTTTGTTGTGGCAACATGTCAAAGCGAGACTACAAAGTTGCCACAATGGATGGCATAGAACTGGAGCCCTTGGGCGGCGAGAAAATGGATAAGGACAAGGAAAAGGATAATGAGAAACAGACGAATGGTGTTACATTTGGTAAGTACCGAAACCATGAAAATTTGCTCCACCAGTAGTTTTATTGTCACTGAAGAGAGAAAAAAAGGAAATAAAAATGTTATTTCCAAAGGATATAACAAGGATAATTGTGTTGATGACACATTTATAAGGTACACATTTGTATGTGTGGGAAAACTAATTTTGGGTATGTGTTTTTTGGAGGGGATTTACTCGACAACAGCCTTTTATTGTCTAACTCACTCCCAAGAGCTACTGCTGTTATTGTTGCTGCGGCTGCTGTCGCTGGTGCTTTGTGACAAGCAACCCTTAAATGTTTTATTCATTCCATAATTAAGTTAAGAACCCTTAAGTGGTTTTGTATACGTTTGCCATTCATACTTTTCCTTTCATCACCGGGAAGAATTATGCCAGCCAAGCAGTCAGCTAGTCAGCCAGGCCGCATCCCAACTCTACCACCTTCCATGCAATCATTCATTACAAACGTCGTCGACATCTTAACGTCCTCCACATCGTTGTCGTCATCATAATAATCCTCATCATTGTCATCGCCATTGACTTCAACTTACTGTCTGTCATTTACACACGACCATATGTACGTTGGAACGTCGTGTTAATGGTTTAATGAAAAAATTCTGGAAAATCCTTCGTGTATTACACTCGAATAATGATTTTATTAAGAGGAATAAATCGGGGAGTCAAATAAACTGGAATGTGGATTTAGAAGAATATTTTTCCTCTGACATCTTGGCCTAAGATTATTGATTTATGAACTTTAAACTTACCTTTTACCATAAATATTTACCTTTTTGAACATTTCTTGAAGGACCACAGATTAAAACAGATTATACCGGTGGAAATTTTTCATGGATTTTTTTTTGAAATTATTGTAAGATTTACAAATGAAATTATTGTAAGATCTACAAATTGAATTTGTAGGATAATGTTTGAGTTATTTTTTTATTTTTAAAGAAAATTTGCTTAAAAATATTTTTAAGAATTTTTTTTTAAACTATTTAAAGATTTTAAAATAATACATATTATTTTGCCAAGATCCAAAGCTTAATTTAAGAGGATTTGGATCATCGACGACAAAGAGTTCAAGCTATAAACATGGATTTTAGAATTATTTTTGCAAAAGTTACGTAGAAAATAGAAAATAATATTTCAAAAACTACCAAGGATTTAAAAATGACTTAAAAATGTTTTTTCCAAAATCATAGAAGTTAAAAATATAATAATTATAAAAGAATATAAAGGTGGGTTTTAAATTTCTTTCTCTAAACATTAAACTCTGGTTTTAAGAATCACAGAGGCTATAAACTTGGATTTAAGATATCAATAACTACAAAGAATAAAAACTACAGAGGCTCTAACGTGGATTTAAAAAATTGACTAATAGCAAAGGCTATAAAAGTGGATTTTAAAAATATTGTTTTTCAGAAATCACAAATTCTGTAAATAAATGGGGGTTAAACAAATATATATCAAAAAGGAACAAGGAAATAAACGTGAGTTTAGGCATTTTGTCAAAAAAACCAAAGAGGCTATAAACGCGTAATATTTAATATAAATTAAAAAAAAAATGCAACAAAGTCAAACACCATAATTTTTACATTTTTTTTAATTTTATTGAATGAAAGCAAAGAATATCGGAAATAGCTGCCCGAATGTTGCTCTGCGGTTTTTTGGACCATTCCCTGTGAATCACTTGCTTGAGGTGATCGACACTTTGGTATTTTTTCGTGCCAACCTTACTTTCCAAAATACTCCAGACACAATAGTCCAACGAATTGGTATCCGGAGATTTTTGTGGTCATTATGCGCTGGAAATGAAGCGAGGAACCTTATTTTGTAACCATTTATGGGTGGCGCGTGTGAGTGCGATGGTGCTGAGTCCTGTTGGAATGTTTAAGGTCTGCGGCCAAAATGTTTGCTTGCCCATGGCTTAAATACACCCTTCAGAATATTTTCGCGATAATATTCGTCATTTATTCTGATGCCACGGTCGATTTATATGAGCGGAGAGCGATCATCGGCTGTTATGGCGGCCCACACCATCACCATGGCCGGCGTTTGGGTTCTGGGGGCCAACCGAAGGTGCACATTTTCAGCTGACCTCTTTGGCAAGTAAACACGATCATTTTGTTTGTTTACAAACTACTGGACAACGGTGTAAGTTCTTGCACTTTTTGTAATTTCAATGGCTTTACCCCGAGCTGATTTTTCAATATTTGCCAAATGGAATATTGTGACTGCGACGTGTGTTCGGGTTTCGATCACGTCGTATCTTTACTTTTCGAACCATTTCTGCTGATGTTGCTGTTTTTTCCGTCCACTTCCTTGACGTCGGGCTACGCTACCAGCATCACGGGAACGAGCGATGATACGTGACACAAAAGATTTATTCACATTTAAATGCTGGAGTGCTCTAACGATAGCCACTTGTGGTTTTCCAGCCAAATATAAAGAAATCACACTATCACGCTTGACATCCATCACAAATAACTTTTTTCTGGAATATTCCCTCCAAAATGCTTTCGTACGCTTGTAAACAATATAGTGAGCTGTCACTGGAATAATGTAAATAGTTGTCGGACGAGTGGCTTAGAAATAACAGCAGTCTGAAATTGGTTGCAGTTTTTTCATCTCACCCTGAATATATAAAAACAGACATTGGCTGAGGGTATACTATTTGACCTGTTACGATAATTTTTGTCTATGACTCTAAAACTCTACTCTACTAAAGGCGTTTTTTCGTGACCATTTTTACTATAAATTCCGATGTACAAAAAATGTGTTTTCATAGAACATTTAGAAAAGTATCTTCGACATTTTAAGAACATTTTGTACGGTACTATTTAGGGCATTTTACAGAACATGGGAGGTTATAAACGTGGAGTTCTTAGATTTGCAAGCAAATCTGGTGTAATCTGACATTTCGGATTCTCAATGGGTAGTTTAACTCTTCGCAAAAACCCTTGCAGGCCCATGTTGTAATAGGGCTCCCACTTTCCATAGCCATTTCCCTATGGAAAGTGGGAGCTATATCACAATATGGCCCTACAAGGATTTTTGCGAAGAGTTAAACTACCCATAGAGAATCCGAAATTTCAGATTACACCCAATGAAACTAGGGGTAATTTTATATTTCGTTTTCGTAGGGGGTAGTTTAATTCAACTCTTTTGTTTTGAAAAATCAAATTACAGAATAGCTTTATCGTTGGAGGTGGAATTTAATCTAGCAACTAATTGATGTAGATTCACTTTTTGGTACACCACATCTTGATTTTTGGAATTTCCCATAATTATTCATCTTTTTGGCTTTCGGTTCTTCTTGTTTGGAAAGGTCTATCCAACCCAATCAGCTGTAAGAAAAACGAAATGTGGGGTACATTAACTCCTCTATATAACAGAGCTTTCTTGGAGTTTAGAGTATAGAAGATTTGGTCATAAGTCACGGTTTCACATAGAGGGGGTATAACATTGACTTTTAAAATTTTGCTAATTTTTTTGTAAATCCGATTTTTTTTAAGTTGTCTATGAAGTGTGTCTAATAACTTCGAATTTTTCATTTCTTTGAGTGTATTTCTTTCATTTCACGTATACCATCATTCATTGTGACAATTGCTTAATTGCAAACGTGTTGTTGGTTTTTTTTTGTTGCGGCAGGAATTCGTTATGGAATTTCGAGAACAATGAACAATCGTGGTACTTACTGACGGATTCGAGGAATTCATAATGGAATGAGTTTATGCATTTGTACTTGTTGTTGGCAATGGTGTTTCCATAAACATATTTCATTATGAATATAATTTAAAATTTTTTTTTTCCAAATATCAGGGGCTTAAAATACCTCAATTATTTGAATAACTGCTTTGCATAAAATCAGTAATATCCGGCAGGTTGTTATTCAATTAAATGTCAGAGGAAAATGTGTGAAAAAATGCCTACATATAATAAAATCTTCCCTCTGTTCGTCTATAATGATTCATTTTGTCGACGTCTTCTCTGCCTTTCAGCCCGTCTGTTAGGATTTTCTGTTGGCTCCCCTCTGGCGTAAAAATAAACTTACTTTAAGCTCTTTTATAAAGCCCCCTCCACTCTAAGCTCACTCGGTAAGTGCTTTTGTAATATTGTCATCGCTCAATATTATCCTCCAATAAAATTCCAATAACATGTCATGTTTTTAAGTTTATGTCATGTAGTTGTCAAACGCTTGATATACCCTCTTTGTCCGCCTTTTTCTCCTTCCTCATTTCATTCAAACATAACCCATTATCGATCAATGCTTCGCAACATTAAACGTTTGTAATTATGACGATACCCCTCCATGAAAACAGTTTTCCAGGCAATTGAAAATGCAGCATAACAACATCATGCAATGAATGCACCGCTCTCGAAGCCATACTGGGACCGACAGACATATTTAAAAGGTATTTCATTTAGAAATCGGTAAAGTTTGAGAACAAATACTTCAATAAAAAATCGACTAATTAGAGAGGGAGAGAACTTCTCTGTGCCCGTGTGTTTGTGTTTTCATTTGAACAAATGTCTGTAACCTTTTAGTTGGTGTCCATTTTTATTAGCATCGGTTGAACATCACCTGTCAAAAATGTTTCAAAGTTGAATGAACCTAAAATGGATGGCAAATACACAAAGTTTTCCAGCCCGAGGGATCGATAGACATATATATGACAAACCGAAATGAGTTTGTGGTCAAATTTTGCATGCGGAAAAAATGAAAGAAATATGTTGGAAAGTTTGGTGGAAAAAAGTGACGAACGACGGTAGAAGCGAAAACTTTGGACAACAAAAATGATTGCACGAGCTACAGAGACGCCCTCCATCGTCGTCTATGGAGACCACCTCCAAGTCAACTATAGAGACGCCCTCCAAGTCAACTATAGAGACGCCCTCCAGGTCGTCTATGGAGACGACCTCCAAGTCAACTATGGAGACGCCCTCCAGGTCGTCTATAGAGACGCCCTCCAGGTCGTCTATAGAGACGCCCTCCAGGT